GGACTACAGGCACCCGCCACAGTGCCCGGCAATTTTTTGGTTGTAGTTGTCGTTGTTTGGCAGTCCCAGGCTGGATTCGAACCCGCCAGCTCTGGTGTATGTGACTGGCACCTTAGCCACTTGAGCTACAGGTGCCGAGCCTGTTTTCTTTTGTCTTGAGACAGAGTTTCACTATGTTGCCCTCAGTAGAGTGCTGTGGCATCACAGCTCACAGCAACCTCAAACTCTTGGGCTTAAACACTTCTCTTGCCTCAGCCTCCCAAGTAGCTGGGACTACAGGTGCCCACCACAATGCCCAGCTATTCTTTGTTGTAGTTGTCATTTTGGTTTCGCTGGCCCGGGCTGGGTTTGAACCCACCAACTTTGGTGTATGTGGTTGGCACCATAACCACTGTGCTACGGGTGCCAAGCCTAAAGTAAGGTTTAAAAGTTATTATAGTCCTGAATCAATCTATGTTCTTGGACAGTTTTTATTTATCCACCTGTAAATTGTTTTCTTTGCCTTGTTTTTGTATAGTGGAATATCTTTATAGGGCTATATCTTTATATAGGGAATATCTATTTAGGGCTAGAAATGGAGCTGATATAAAGTCTGCAAAATCACATTTCCATTGTAAGTTATATATAACCCATTTAATTATAGTAAGTTATTAATTATCTTTGTACTCTTCCTACATCATAAAAGTACCAGGTAATGGCTCAATGTCCTAGCACAGTGGTTATGTGGCTGGCCACATGCACCGAGGCTGGTGGGTTCGAGCCTGGCCCAGGCCAGCTAAACAACAATGACAACTGCAACAAAAAAAATGGCCGGGTGTTGTGGTGGGCACCTGTAGTCCTGGCTACTTGGAAGGCTGAGGCAAGAGAATCACTTGAGCCAAAGAGTTTGAGGTTGCTATCAGCTGTGATGCCATGGTACTCTAGTGAGGGCGACATACTGGGACTCTGTCTCAAAAAAAAAAAAGTACCAAATAATTCTCAGAAGGTATGGATCAAAGTGTCATTTTCCCTTTATGATTATGGATAATCCCAATCTATGGTCATTGAATATCCAGGGAATATTGTTCACTGCCAGGAAAATACACTATCGGGTAATGAAAGGAAGAGGGCATTTGATGACCCTTGTTTTAAGCCAGGTGCCTATGAAGTATTTAATTTCATGACAACAAAAGTAATAAGGGTATCAATGAAAGACTACATCTGTGCCAGCATATCTAGTATTCAGGCTTATATGTATATATATTATGGTCTTACATTATCATTTTCTATCGTGATGGAAGTATATGTTTTCCCTTCCTACCCAGAATGTGTACCTCATCAGTTAAGACCATTTTTCTTTATCATTTGTATTCCTTGGAGATTTCTATTAAAATGCCCAAATAGTAGATATCTAGTAAATATTCATTTGACTGTTAATGTGGAAATGGTTATTTATTTATTTTTATTTTTTGAGACAGAGCCTCAACCTGTTGCCCTGGGTAGAGTGCTATTGCATCACAGCTCACAGCAACCTCCAACTCCTGGACTTAAGTGATTCTCTTGCCTCAGCCTCCCAAGTATCTGGGAATACAGGCGCCCACCACAATGCCCAGCTATTTTTTTGTTGTAGTTATCATTGTTGTTTGGCAGGCCCGGGCTGGATTCAAACCCACTAGCTTTGGTGTATGTGGCTGGCGCCTTAGCTGGTTGAGCTACAGGTGCCAAGCCAGAAATAGTTATTTAATATAAAGTTTTTCAAGAAGTTATTGAAAATTATGCTAACTATACTGGTTTGGCAGTAAAAATCCACTTCAATATGTTAACATTGATAAAAATAAATAATACGTGTTTTTAAAACTAGAGCATTGTGTAGTTTTTCAGTAATCAGACTTGAATCACACTTTAAGTCCAAGTAGAGTAGTAGAGAAATCTCTATTTTGAATATAATATATATTAAGAAAATTTTTGAAAACATGTGGTTCGGTAGGTGTATTCTTAAAGAAGAAATCGTGTAAAACATTAACAGGTTAGGATTTTGTTCGGTTTTTTCAGACTTGGGTAATTAAAAATTAAGAAAGGATGAATGTCTTTATTAAGGTGAGGGATATTACATTACTTAAAAGAGCACTGAATAGTGAATGGAGAGTTGAGGTTTTATATTCTCTCTCAAGTAATTTTTCTTTTCTTTTCTTTTCTTTTTTTTTTTTTTTTTTTTTTTTGAGACAGTCTCACCATGTCACCCTTGGTAGAGTGCTATGAGCAACCTCAAACTCTTGGGCGTAAGCAATTCTCTTGCTTCAGCCTCCCCAAGTAGCTGGGACTACAGGCGTTCACCACAATGCCCGGCTATTTTTTTGTTGCAGTTGTTTGGCCCAGGCTGGGTTTGAACCCGTCAGCCTCAGTGCATGTGGCCAGTGCTATAACCACTGTGCTATAAGCTCGGAACCATAATTTTCCTACATTACTGAATTTTCTAAATCCTGGGTCAAGTACATTCACAGATGTGCTAACCAATCTACATCTAAATTGGAGAATACTTGAAAAACATTAGTATTTCTTTAACCTAGTCCTGTTTGGTTTGTAACACTGAGTGTCAGGCACATAGTGAAATATGGATGGTTTTTATGAATTGTTTCTTGTTCAGATGAGAGATCTCCAGCTGCTCAGTATGTAGACCTACTGCTGAACCCCGAGCGCTACACCGGCTATAAAGGGACCTCTGCGTGGCGAGTGTGGAACAGCATCTATGAGGAAAACTGTTTCAAGTAACTGCAGGGGCCGGGGCAGAAGGAGGAAAGGGAGGGTGGAGCAGAGGGGCACATCTGTGTTGGAATAAAAAAGTCAGATGTAAAAGTCAAACCATTTAATGTTTGGATATCAATGTTTTCTTTTTCAGGCCTCGATCTGTTTATCGTCCTTTAAATCCTCTGGCACCCAGCCGAGGTAGGTTTTTCATACATACATTTTCATGCTTTTAGATGTTATTTATAAAACATCTTTGCAGCAAAACTTTACACTGAAAATTTTTTCAGTTATTTTATACTTTTTACTAATTTTATCAACAAAAGTATATAACATTAGTTCTAGTCAAATCTCAAGATTTCTGTACATGTTTTAGATAACTACTGTCATTTATCAAGTGTCTACCACATGCTAGACCCTAAACGAGAAGGGTTTTTTCCCTAAAGGCTTTTTATTTGCCTGATAAGTCAACCTGCTTCCTCATGGCAGCCTAGGAATATTCGAAAATATGCCATGTCAATCAAAGCCTTGGTAAAATAACCAGCCTTTCTAATTCTGTCTGGAGTTTCTCCCAGCAAGGTTAAGGAAAACCTGAGCTGTCAGTGGACTCATCCAGATGGTCAGTGTGTTGACTTCAGTCACAGTGGGGGAAACGGGTCTCTGTGGGTCTCTTCAGGGGCCCCACTGGTCGTATTTCCTGACTTCTGTGGTGTCTGGCATTCTTCCAGTGGTTCTTTCAGTATCTGTGAGTTAAAGGCCACAGAGACTGTGGCAGTCACTTGGGCCTCCTGGAGCAAAGTAGAAAGAACAATGGAGATAACCTAGCTCGGCAGGCTGGCGCGAGACACAGAGACCCCACCAGACTGTGGGAGGATGCCGCCTGGCTGCTGCATCTAACTGGACAGTTGCTACTCCAGTGCCCCGACTACCTGAACTAGAAGCTTTATGTAAAGTAAATTAGAGTATGTGAGTAAGCCACATATCAGAGATTTCCTGGGGACCTCCTAAAAATCTACATGCCCAGGGACTATCTATACTAATTAAGTCAAAACCCTTGGTATTTTTTGAACTCTTTAGTTTAGGTGGTTCTAGTATGCAGCCAGGTTTCAGAACCATTGGCTTATCCCAGTGCTTCTCAAACTAAGACTTGTTAATGTACAGGTTCTGATTCTGCAGGTCTTGGGTGGGGCCCAACATTCTGACAAGCTCCGGGTGCTACCTAGGATGCTGACCCATGTACCGCACTTTGAGTGGGAAGAACATAGAGAAGTTTCAGAAACTTAGGCTGCTTTCAGCAGTACTCTAGAAATGTGGCTAATGTGAAACCAAATTTTAAATTTTAATTAATTTTAGTTCATTTAGATTTTAAAAACTGACACAATATAAAATATTGCCAGTAAACAGAACATTATTGTTTTGGTATGATTCCTTGCATCATGTAATGTTGTTGTGTCACAGGACATGTATACATTTTACTTATTAGAAAAATTTTAAGTTGCACATGTGCCTGGCGTTATGTTTCAGCGGGACAGTATTGCTGTAGTCAGTTGGGCACATCCTCATTCTATTTTCAGAAACCAAACCCTGGCAGCAACCCTGTAATGGACCTAGCACTCCAATTTGTCCTTAGACTGAAATTGATTTTTAAGAAATTGTATTTCCTGGTCTAAATTTGTATCTTTTTAGACATTTCAAGAGCCAGTAGATTTGGAAATATTAAATGCATAGATTGCATTTGCATACTTAGCCTATCCCCGTGTGGCAAATAAGCTTTTTCCCAAATTCATTTTGAAACTGCCTGGAGAAGGGGATTGGGTCATGGAAAGGACATGGTGGCTTCTTATCCTTTGTCTCTTTTATTACTTTCAATTCATAACTTTCCTGTTTTCAACTGAAATGTTTTAATTACACAACATTTTATAAAAATTGAAGTAGTATAGAAGGTATAAATTCAAAAGGGAACACTCTTCCCCAACCCCAATTACTGTTTCATAGTACACAGTTTGGAAGGCATTCTTCTAGACATTTACCATGGCCAATGACTTTTAAAGCAGAAAATATTGCTATTCACTTAATAAAACTCTGACGTCATAGGAACTTCCACATTATGATAAATTAGAGACCTGAAACTGCTGGAAAGATGAGGAGAGGAAGGAAATCGCTCTGTAGAAAAAGATGGAGGGAAGGAGGAGAAAAGAAGAAAACAAAATTTTATTAAAGAGGCTCGGCACCTATAGCTCAACCGGCTAAGGCGCCAGCCACGTACACCTAAGGTGGCGGGTTCGAATCCCCAGCCCGGGCCCGCCAAACAACGACGGCTGCAACCAAAAAATAGCCGGGCGTTGTGGTGGGCGCCTGTGGTCCCAGCTACTTGGGAGGCTGAGGCAGGAGACTCGCTTGAGCCCAGGAGTTGGAGGTTGCTGTGAGCTGTGATGCCATGACACTCTACCCAGGGGGACAGCTTGAGGCTCTGCCTCAAAAAAAAAAAAAAAAAAAAATTTTATTAAAGAAAAACAAAAGAGTAGGTGAGGGGAAAGAGAATGGGCCCTCGCTGTTATAGGAGTACTCCATAAAGTAATTAAGTAGCTCTTGCTGATGCCATCTGTGTCCTGTCACCGTTGAAATTGATGATTAACAGCTCCTCTTCGGTTATCTGATTTTTTTCATTTTTTTGAGAGACAAGGTCTTGCTCTGTAGCCTACACTGGAGTACAGTGATCATAGCTCACTGCAGCCTTGAACTCCTGGAGTCAAGCAATGCTCCTGCCTCAGTCTACTGAGTAGAGGTCGGGGGCCCCTGAGTAGGGGTAATTTTTTATTTATTGTAAAGATGGGGTCTCACTATGCTGCCTAAGCTGGACTTGAACTCCTGGCCTCAAGCCATCCTCCCGCCTTGGCCTCCCAAATTGCTGGGATTACAGGCATCAGCCACTATGCTGGGCCATGTCTTCTTAACTGTGTTTCTTCCACGCTATTCGTAAGTTGCAACAGGTTTGTACAACTATTTTTCTAACAGTTTTGAGCAAAATAACCTTTTTTCCAAAAACAAAGTCTTACATTTAGTGCCCTACATATGAAGCTGACAGGTGGAGCTATGGGGCCCTAAAGCCCAACCTTCTAGCCTGTTCCTCATCTCTAGGGAGCCCTGGAGCAACTCCAGCACTGATTACAGTTTAGGAAGTACTGTTGCTAAGGTGTACCTGCACTGGAGAGCAGTAGTTTAAATGAGCAACGTATTTCAGCATAGAAACAGTAATGTTCAGAGACGGTTGTGCACATAAAGATTAAAGGAGCAGCTTTGTGTATCTGCTAAGTTTTGAAACTAGAGGGTTTATTATTTTTAGTTGCTTTCTGGTATTATTTATTGCATAAAACGTTGCAAATCTTATATTCTTTGGCCTATGTTCTTATTTTACAAGGCCTCATTTCCAGAATGACTCCACTGACTGAAGTTCTCATGATATAATTAATAGTTTAACAGTTTTAGTCTCATATTGAAATATGTAAGATTGGAATCCAAGCTGTGTAAGATACTTTCTGAAATCTTTTTTATTATTTTCTTTTAGGTGAAGATAATGGTGAGTTGAAATGCTTATGTTTGTATTTGCTGTAAGTGTAAAGGAAATGTTTACAATGATCAAAATTTCAAAAGAAAGTGTTTTTCAGTAAATAACTACCTGAATGGTGAAAAAAAAACAGATTATTTTTTATAGTTTAAAGTTCTTATATGTTTAAAAAAGAAAGTATAAAGACTATTTTATCTAAATGTTTATTTTGGAAACCAAGTTCACATTCCAAGTTCCCCATTTTCTGGTTATTATAATCTACTTGAATATATTCTGGGGAAATGGAGAGAAGTTAAGATACTGTTATCAGATAATTTGTCCTGTTACTACTTTATTTTCTTATTCACTTTGAAATTTATAACCTCAGTTACCAATATAATACTTAATCAGATGAAGAACAATTTATCAAAACTTGGTAACTTCAGGTTATTGAATGAGTATCAGTTATAGGTTCCCTCAAAATAGCCAAAGTAATTATGTCAACTGGATGTTTATCTTTGTTCAGGAGCACTGTGATAGCCATTGTGCAAAGTAGGATGATGTGGTGGTGCCTGTAGCTCAAGCAGCTAAGGCACCAGCCACACATACCAGAGCTGGCG